ACTCCCAGGTGAATAAAGTTACCTGTCTTTGTACACTTCCAGAGAAGCTTCTTTTTAACAGCTTCTCAAGTCTACAACTGCCTGGTGACAGACTTTCATCACCTCCATCAAAGTTGTACCCACACTGGCATGTATTTGTAATGCTGAGCCCACAGGCCATGAGGCTAGCGCCTTCGCACCGAGCTACAGCTCGAAATAAAGAGGTGCCAAGTGCTAGGTCACAGGGGGGGGATGTAGCATCTGGAAGCTTAGCAATGTTAGCTAAGAGGTTGCTTATTAAAATAAAAACCTACGTTAATCAGGAACTGATACTTCGCATGAAGGATTCCTAGCGTTTCATAAGAGGAAGTGCATCGTCTTCAAACATTTTTCCACCCTGTTTAACATCGATTCCTCTTCAACACCACACTGTGTCAGGTAGGAGAGACGCAGGCAGAGTCTAAGCACTTAATGAAAAGGCCCAAAACCAGAGATATTCTGGCAGGCAGAAGCAGAGTCGGTCCACACTGACTTAGCCCATGCGACGGCCCTTCCCCTTGCATGTGTATGAGCGGTGGTGGGCAGTCGGGGTGGATTTCTGGGGCCTTTCTTCACTCCGCCAGGCTCTGTTTTATTCATCGCCTGCGCCCTGACCCCGCAAAGCTCCTGTTCTGACAAATCACTTCTGATTAAGACAGATCTCAGTTAGTCAGCCACTCAACTTGGCCTATTCATCATTCCATAGAAAATATCCCTCTCTCTCCTCCCCCCGTCCCTCCTCCTCCTCCCATCTCGTTTGCCTGTCCGTCAGACCGAAACTAGGCGCGAGAGAAATTTCCGCTGCTGTTTTAAATGGCTGATTATAGACGATCGGTAGATGGAGAGACGTAAGAGACGTCTTATGGGTGATAAGATGCAAGTTTAATGGGTATAAATGAGCGGGCCTGTAGGAGAGCAGCTGGTAATAGAACCGTTTGTTTAAAGCTGAACCGGGGTGGAGAGAACTGAAAGCTATATTTTCCTTCTTATTTCAGCTCCACCTCCACTCTTCTCTCCACCTTAGCCTCAAATGCTCACATCCCCAGATTCACGTTTTTCCCAAAGTTCCTTTCACCTGCATTAGATGAGAATTGATGAGGCTTGGAAAGGATCAGCTTGTTCTACATTTATGAAATTACCCTACACGTCCCTGTGGACATGCAGATACTCTGACATAGCCACTGATGTGTTACATTGATCCAACGAGTTAGTCACAATGTAAACAGCATATTTACTGTTGGTGTATTTACTAATACAGTCAGATGTCTCGGAGCATTTATATGCAAAGATAGGCCGTAATAAACTGCAGCAAACTCCTTACAGTGCACCAAGGCATCTCGACAGCCACAAGGCTATTGTGTTAAAATGTCTTAACAAACCAGATTAAATTAACCTGCACGACAGCCCTGCTATTGGCAGCGGGCTGAGAAGCTGAGTGGAGAATGAGGGTCCCGACAAGCAAATTGCCTGGACTTAATCAACCAGTCTTACTGAACCAGCCAAATGAAAACTAATGGACTCGGGCGCTTGCTGTGATTGCCCCACATGCAACAATGTCTGTAATTTCTACAGACGGCTGGTCGGCCTATATACCTATTCTCCGCGTATCCCGGTTGGTCAAT